TGTCCACATGTAAAACACACCTGCTCTCCCCAGCCCTGGTTTGGAATGGCCCTGCTCGCTCTTGAATGAAAGCAGAGTGTCTAGGGAGTGCAAGGTGCCGTTCTCCGGCTCTGGGAAGCCACGGAGCAGGACCCCAGGTCTTAGGTGTGTTTGGGAAGCAGCTAAGAAAAGCAGAATGGGGTTTAGAGGTGCCCTGTGATGGGGGTCACCCAGGAAAGTCTGGGGCCCCTGCACTGGGGCCCTCCCAGCCTGCTTCCCACAAAGGCAGCGGGACAAGGGGCTTGGAGGCAGGGCCCCCACCACGCCCAGCCTCCCTCAGCCTTGAGGACTCGTGTTCAGATGGAGCCCCGGCCTCTCCACTCTCTGACGCAGTACATCACGGGGAAGTGAGCAAAGAGTATTGTGAAATGTTTGTTATGAAACAGGTTCCCGGGAGGATTGGGAGAGGCCAACTGTTCCCGCAGACGGCACTCAATGGAGAGGGGGCCCTCTCTGTCCAGGAAGAAGCATCACGGAAACGTCTTGTCCTCCCGCCTGCCCCAGCCTCCTGGGGGAGGTCTCTCAGCCAGCATTTGGTGACTGTGGTCCCCCTGGCTGCAGCTCCCCAAGGTAGAGGGGACAGGGGACAGTTATAACAGGTGGTCCTTTCATGAAGATGGAAACAGTCACGAGTGAAGAAGGGATGGGTGAACTGTGGCACGAGAGCACGAGAGCACGCGTGCACACACACACACACACACACACACACACGTCGCTGCAGAACAATGATGAAACTATGAGACCCCCATGGCGTCACGGGCCTGAGGACATCGGTCCAGGAGGAAGTCAGCCAATCACAAGAGGGAAACTGCTACATGAGACCACTGTTATAAAAGAAAAAACCCACAAGAGATTTCCATACTACACCAGAAACAGGCTTGAATGGTGCCCAGGGTGGGAGGGGAGGGCTCAGGGGAAGCAGGAAGGCAGAGGGGAGACAGGTGTGAACTTGGGTGAAGGGGAAGGTAACAGCCTGCAAGAGGGAGGGAGGGAGGAAAAAGCAGGGAGCGAGGCAAGCATCTGGTAGGGCAGATCAGTTGCTGAAACTGATAATACAGAAACGACATCTGATCCCTACATACATGAAAGTCAAGAGAGATAACCCATCAGAAAAAGTAACAGGAGTAATGGGTCTCTGAGAGTACGGGAAGAGGGGGAGGCTGCTGGGGAGCTGATAGCATTGCTGACTATATAATCCCACTCGATGTGATTGAAAGATCGAACAACAGAATTGTATGTGAATCAATATACTGGATTGTGTAAGGTATGGTAAAAAAAAAAAAAAGGAATAAGGGCCCCTGGAGGATAGGGTGGGGAAGGGAGGAGATAAAGGAGGGCTGATATCAAGGAGCTCAAGAAGAAACAAAATGTTTTGAAACTGATTGTGGTAGCAACTGTACAACACTGCTTGATGTGATAGAACTATGGAATGTTATGATATGTGTAATAGCTCCCAATAAAATTATTTTTTAAAATAAATAAAGTACAGGAGAAAAATGACAATCTGAAATGTAAATCCATCTAAATGACAATAACATATTTTAAAAAGCCAATCAAGAAGACGGCCCTTTCAGGTGTCATGTGCACCAACGCCGGAGTGTAAGCGAAAGCACGTGAGTGAACTGGACACAAGGAGGCGGGTTTCACTCCGATCTGACCCTGTGAGCCTCGGGAGGGATGGGAGGGCCTGGATAACACGATGGGGTGTGCTGGGTTGCTAGCTACGGTTGGTGGGTCAAACCCACCAGCCACTTCGAGAGCGAAAGATGGGGCCATGTGCTCCTGTAATGATACACAGCCTCAGGAACCCCAGGGGCAGTTCTTCTCTGCCCTGTAGGGTCTCCATGAGTTGGGCTGGTTTGGGAGGATGGACAGTGAGATTATGGGGGGTGGGCAGGATCTGCACAAAGGAGAAACAACAGCTGCAAATCAGGAGTCATTCTTTGCCTGGGCTCACCACTCCCTAAGGCCTAGAGACCGCGTGCAGATGCATAAGCAGCTTTGTCACACGCACAAACACCCAGCTACACCCACCACGGTCACCAAGGCCACTCTGACTGATCGCGGCCCTGTACAGTGTCTCTGAGGCTGTGGGTCTTGACAGAAGCAGACGTTCTCCCATGGACCGGCTGGTGGGTTGGAAGCCCTGAGCTTCCCATGAGAAGCCAAGTGTTTAGCCATGGCACCTGCAGAGATCCTCACATAATGTACAGAAGCAAACCCCATCCCGACTCACACAAGAACCTCACTGCCGTGTCGATGCACAGCCACCCCACAGGACAGGGGAGAGCTGCCCCTGTGGGTTTCTGGGACTATAGCTCTTGATGGGAGTAGAAAGCCTAGTCTTCCTCCTCAGAGTGGCTGGTGGTTTCAAACCAATGGCCTTGAAGTTAGCAGCCCAACACATAACCCACTCCACCACCAAGGCTCCTATCCCCAACTCAAAGTGACCCTGTTATCTAAGAGAGCAGAACTTCCCCACGGGTATCTGCCACTGTAAACACTTACGGACGGAAGCAGACAGCCTCCTCTTTCTCCCATGCAGCGGCGGGTGGATTTGCACCACTGACCACTCTCTTCCCTGCTGCACTGAATCATCCAGTTCTCTCTCGACCTCCATCGCCCCGCCACCCCCGCCACCCCCACCCAAGATGGGAGTGCGGAACACACAGCTCCCATGGCCCCCTGCTCTTTCCGAGTCCTCGGGCCTCTCTGGAAGCCTCCCCCATGGGTCTACTCACAGATTAATCACCTTCTGGAAAACAGGAGAGTCACTCGGAGGACTAAGGTGTCCCTGACCCAAGTCATGGTGTTTTCAGTTCCTCAGAAATCCCATGTCAGGTGGCTCTGAGACAAACCTCAGGCCCAGGACAGGGTGGTGCTAGCCCTCTCTGAGGGTTACTCTTAAATCCAGCAAGCTGGCTTTCTTGTGAGAAATCTGAGCCCGGGGCGGGGAGCTCACTGGGAACAGTTAACTTAGGACTGCTGGCTAGCCAACGCGAGACGAGAGTGGTCTCCCTGCCCATCTCTGGACTGGACACCAAGACTCAGAGACCTCGGTGGGGCAGAGCAGGTCAGATTAGGGCTAGGAAGCTAGGCAGAACAAAACACACAGGATGAGAGCTTTCCTACAAATAGAAGGGTGGCTTTGAGGCAGAGTGGACTAACGCAGCAGTGGTTTGGTTTGGGGTTATGAGGTTAAAGAGGCAGGATTAGAAGTGGTTGTGTTAATGAGGCCAAATACAATCTACAGGCTTGGGCTGTATCTTGAGTCCATCACTTTTGAGGTATTAAAGGGGTTAAATAAGCAAGCAAAGATGAGAGGAATCTACTATCACCAAGAAAGAAGAGATAGGCGTGGAACTTACCCTTTGGACCCAGGGTCCCTGTGCTGAGAACCTCCTAGACCTGGGGGAAGGCTGATTGCTAGGCACATGGAGATCTTCAGGGGATACAGAGACAAGATGCTCCCTCCAGAGCAGAGAAAGAAAACCTTCCCCTAGAACCAGTGCCCTGATTTCAGACTCCTGCCTAAACGGTGAGAGGATGAGTTTCTGTTTGTGGAAGGTACCCCTCCTGGGATTTCTGTCCTAGCAGCACTAGATCACGGACACAGTGATGGTTTGATGTTTGCCTTCTGCACCTGCTCATAATCCCTCTTTTTAAAGTCACTTGGAATTCTAGCTGCCTGCATTCCCCCCACCTTCCCCGGGGCTCACGGGTGCACTTGAAATATTCAGGTACAGCGCCATCTGCGAGGACGACCCACTCCCACCTGCCGTTGTCCAGAAGAGCAGATGCTGCTGCACGTGAGACATGTGAGACATAAGCCCAGAGTTGCCGCTTGCTCACCTTCGGGACCACACTGAGTGGGGTCGCTGATGCAGGAGTTCTTGTAGCTTCCATAGTAGAGGAATGCGACACCCTTCTGCTCCCGGAGGTAAATGCCTTTGTTGACCTTCCCTTCCACAAGGTCTGCGTGAGAGAAAGCACAGCGCTGCCATCCCTGCTCCTCGCCAGAGTGAGCATGCCAGGTCTCTCTCTCTCTCTCTCTCTCTCTCTCTCTCTCTCTCTCTCTCTCTCTCTCTCTCTCTCTCTCTCTCTCTCACACACACACACACACACACACACACACACACACACACCCCTACAGGAGGCCACAACTCAAACACAGCCACTACTCTTGAGTTGCCTCTGACTCACAGAGACCTGATGGGTTTCTACGCTGGTATAATACAGTAACAATACTGGGGGCTATTTCAATAATAAGCTACATGGGCCACGTTTTTACACAAATAACACAAGTGCTGTATGTTTTAGCACTTTTGGTATGTGTGCTGTGCCATATATATATGTATATGTATATACACATATATATACACACATACATATTTTACAGCAACATGTTAAAAAATTTAGTGCGGCATGCTTGTGAAAATAGCAGGAAGGACATAGCTAGCAAGGAAGTAGAACCCCCCAAAGTGTAACATCTGTGTAATTTGCCTACAAATCTGGTACCAGTATAACAGTGACAGCGTTCACCACTTGCTGGGTAGCGAGAGGAGTGTGGGTATTTTCTCTGGCTTGTCCTGAACTTGAATCCAACGGTCGATAAGGTTGACTGGTTGGGTTTTCCCCATGGCCATCCTCATTTCCCAAGTACAGCATTTAGGTACAAGTTTGAACACCAGACTCCCACTGCACGCTCTCCCACTGAGGTCTAATGCAAGGCCCAACAGTCCTGGACACAGGAACCAAGGGTTTTAAAAGAACCCATTTTCAGATCTCAAGAGGGCAGCCCTGAGTCAGGTTTTGCACTAGCCAGAGGAGGTTGAGGCTACAGAAGCCGTTGTCCCCGTTGAAAGGTTCCCAGGACACTCATAACTAACTGTGGGAGTGGGGGAGATGGCTTAAGCTAAGGTCATCGTCTCCTAGTGCTTTCCCACTGTGGGGGAATGAGGGCAACACCTGCTGCCCTGGTAGCTGTGGACCCCACTGAGGACAGACAGACAGAAGGCCTCCTAGGGGACCCCCAGTGCCCACGGGGGAAGCTACAATGCTGTCCCCTCCTTTTCCCTCCTCCATCTCATTTAGCTCATCTCTCACCAGGGCCCCAGGCTCAGGATGGTTAGCCAGCAGTGGGTACTTGCACCCCAGACCACACTGGGTTTGCCCCAGCAGCAGGGATTCTGGGATCCCAGGTCTCTGCCAGAAAAAGCAGTCAGGTTGTGTTGGGGAAAGGCCCAAGTACGAGACCTTCTGGACTTCTCTGCCAGCCACATAGCGAGCCCTGTGGGTTTGGGGGCAAACAGAGCACAGGGGCTTCGTGGGAAGGTAGTGAGATAGAAGCCCAGGGGAAAGTCTTGAGGCGGGTGTTTTGTGAAACAGCTTCATGTGATTTGGAAAGAAAAAAAGGAATACAGATTACAGAAGAAATGCTGATTTGAATGTTTGTAAAAGGCCTTTAAAAAAAGTATTTTAAAACCAGCTCTCATTCTCCACTAAATGGAGGTGACTCTCCTCCCCTGGAGACTTTGGGGTGGGGTGGGGGGGGCTTCCAAACATGGGAAAAGGCCATTATCTTTCCTGTCCATTTTCTACAGACCTTCAAAGGTCCCCCCCACAGCCCCATGCAATCCATCCAAAAGCCCAAGCAACTTCTATTTGTAGGAAAGCTCTCATCCTGTGTTTAGTTCTGTGAGCGCTGGCTCAGGGGGTCCCAAGGCTGGGAGCGAGGAAGGCAGCCTGTGGTGGATGGCGGTCTGTAGGCTGAACCCCTGGTGACATCTTCATTCCCCGGTGGGCGGTCAGTCTGCCCCGGACTATCTTGCTGGCCAAGACAGATCGAGTTCACCCAGAACCAGACTAGGCTTGCCCCAGGTGGGCCTGAGCCCAGCCCAAGTGCATTGTGCCAGGTGCTCACCAAGGGTCGCGGTGGCGTTAGAGTAGGTGGAGTTATGGTGGGGGAGGAACACAGTGAGGTTGTGGGCGCGGGAGGCTGACGAGACAAGAGAAAAACACACAGCACGTGAGTGAGACACAAACACAGATGGCACCGGCCGTTCTCTCAACCCAACTCGCTCCGGGTGCCTCCATCTCACCGGAGGGCCGTCCAGCCGTCCGGGACTGCTTCTTCCCCCTGTCCCTCTCCTGCCCTGCCCTTCCCAACCCTCCCCGGGACGTCCCAGCCGAGGCCAGTGGCCGAGACCAGGCGACGCCGGGCCGGCAATCGGCCAGTGTCCCTGAACGCTCAGGTGAGAGATGTGACATGGAAGTCAACAAGAAATGGGCGGCTGCGGTGTCACAGACGGATGGGACAGCGACACAGGCAAGAACACCACGCGGGGTCACGACAAACGAGCGAGACAGCGGGGCTGTGGGGACAAAGAGCAAAGCTGCACGTCGTGGTCCCGTGGCCCCGCAGCCAAGCGCGCCGAAGCACTCGGGTCTCGTTGTTCACGGACACCTGTAGTCACGTCAACTACGCCACGTCGCACCGGAAGCGAGCCGGGCCCCGGGCCGGAAGTGACGGAGCCCTCATCATCCGGGTGCTTCTGCCCACACATCCCTCTTGCTCAGAGCCGGCCTGGGAGCCCGCCCGTGGCGCTCGTGGATTTGAATCATGATGGCGCCTCGCGAGAAGAATGTCCCAACGTGAAGATTTCAGAAATACCCAAAGCTGCGGTTTCCATCGACAACTGTGGTGGGCACCCCAGGGACCCTCGGAGGGAACGCGTGCGCTCCGCAAGGATCGGCTGGTTCTCACAGGAGATCCCTTCTGAGGCGTTGTTTATTTGGCCGACGATTTTGTTTTGTTTTGCGAAGGACGCCTTTGAAGATCAAGGCTCCCGCGGAAGGAAAATGAGACTCTTAATGAGGGCGAGCTTTCCCTGCCATGAGCACCCGTGGCCGTGCCAATGTGCCTGGAGACGCTGGTTCTCAGGGCGCCCGGGGCACGCGACCCCCCAGTTCCTAGGGCAACACGGAGCGAGGTTGTCCGTGACCTCTGGCAGCAGCAGGACAACCCAGTGCGCCTGCGTGGAAGGTGCGGTCACCAGCCATGGACCATGGCCCTGTTAGAGGCAACTGAAGCGTGGACTGGGAGGGTGATATCATGATATGGACCCCCGAGACAATGCCCTCAAAACATTTAAACCAAAAATACCCCCCAGAGGTGTGGTACATGAGGAAGTGGCAGTGATGTCTTGAACTATAATGTCTGCCAGCCCATCACAAAGATATCTTAAGTGTTCCAATAAGATTAAGATAACCATTATTAGGGGAAGCCTCCCCCCACCCCCCACCGAGTGTACATCCATCCCCATGCACTGCCTCAAATCTGCTCCTCTGATGCCCCCCACCCCCCACTTCCTGTGGGCCAACCGGGGACCATGGCCACAGCACTTTACCCATCGCGTCTACCTCTGGTTGTGTCCTGAAGCTCGTGGATTCCGTCCACATGTTCCAGGGGCCAGTAATGGGACGCAGAAGCCAGGACTTCAAACCCTTAGAGGAAACGGACAATACGTCAGCCACCTTTGGGAAGGGCGAAAGCAGATGTGTGCGTAATATGAACTGGAGGACCAGGACCGTGGCACAGAATGCAAGAGATGTCGGACCAAGTATATTCAGGGCTGTGAGTCGGGGGACAGGCCTGGAAGTGTGCCCTTCTGTTGTGCTTTGGGTATGTGGTCTGGGGCCAGGCCCTGGAGAAGGGCATCATGCTTGGTAAAGAGGAGGGGCAGCGAAAAAGAGGAAGACCCTCAAGGAGATGAAGTGATACAGGTGGCTACCATAATGGGTTCAAACAAATCATGCTGTGAGGGGCGCAGGACCAGGGCAGCATTGGCTGGGCTGGGGTGGGGTAGCTGAGGCAGAACTGCCACCAGGCACCTCACAACCTGAAAGTGTCCACAGACCCCCAGCTGCTGGGAAGGCACTCGGTACAATTAAGTCCACACTCCTGGTTAAAACAACAACAACAACTTAAAAATGAGAAGAAGTCTATCAACATTTCCCTAAAAGGATAAAGTGTGACAGCTAGGCCTAGATACCTCTAAACTTGAGAGAACAAAGGTGCCTAATGAGGCAACACTGGATGAGGCTCGTTAGTGTCAAGAGAAAGACTTAGAAACGCCATGATCCACAATTATTCAATGTTGTTGAAGAGGTAATATTGAGGTGATCAGACAAGAGAATGAGATGAGGTAAAAAGTAAGTTAAAAGGAGAGATAATATGATCATTATTTTTAAGTGGTTTACGCCTTGATTCCCAAGCTGAGAAACTAAGAAGAAAGGAATTCTGGAAGGAAGCCTATACAAATCCAAAACAGAAATGGCAGCACTCCTACACTCAGACAATAGAGCTGAAAAATAATAGATTTCTAATCGCAGCCAAGAGAGCGAGAATGCCTAAGAACAAAGAGAATAATAAGATCCGTGGAGGGGAGCAATACAATAGGTTTGCTCAGCTGTAAGGGGCTGGGCACACAAATAGGTCAAGTCCCCACCTTGGGCGGGTGTGGGGCCAAGAAGGTGATGGTGTGGTCCAAAATGAGGACCCTTGAAGCTTTAGAGTTGAAAGGAGGTGGGGTGGAGGTATGTGTAAAATACAGATTGGGGGGAGAGAGGGAGGACATATGGGAGGAAGCAAAGAAAGAAAGACAATGAGAACAAAGAGAGAAACAAAAGTAGAGCAGAGAAAGACACACAGAGAAAGACCAAGTAAAAAAGCAGAGAGACGTTCACAGAGAGAGACAGCGGAAGATGGAGAGTGATACAAGGACAGCAAGATAGAGAGACCCAGACACACAGAGATGTGTGGAAAGATATTCAGGACACGGGTCATACTTTGTGAGGTAAGAAAATTGAAGGGCTGGGGGTTGGGCATGAGAAGATGGCTTTGCTTTTCATTCATCTTCTGGTTCTGTTTGAATACTTGATTACATCTTGTTTGAATACTTGATTACATCTATCTCTTCCAAAGCTGTCTCAGGGCTGCTCTGAAAACCAGCAGGACCTGGGCCTCCATCCAGAGTCTCAGGCAGAGCGGGGGCCTCTCGTCTCCTTCTAAATCTGACACTTGTGCCCAGGCCTGCCTGTGTCCTTCAGAGGGTGCTGCACGGAGGACAGGGCTAGCCCTGTTGCCTGAGTAGGCAGGTAACAGTCATGGCTCATGCGCAGGTGTGAGTGTGTTGTACACAACCCTCCTGGTACCATGTGCAGCGGCAGGAAGGGCTCCCCTGCTGAAAGACCAGATGGTGGCTCTGGGAGGTAAAGCTCAAGATTCCCTTCCCTCTATTCCCACCAGGCTGGCCTCGGAAATCTGGGCTGCTCGTTTGGAAAAGGAGGGAAGGTGACTCAGTTCATCTGGGGAAGTCTGCAAAGGAGACAACAGCTGTGATGCAAACAGCAGATGTTGTCCGCTCTGAGCCCGCGTCCCCACGAAGCAAGCCCAGTGGATGGGCAGGGGCGCGTGGCTTCACCCCATCCCAGGGCCCCGCTGGGTTCTCATTGGAAGGCACTTCCCCAAACCAGCCTGTGCCCACCAGGGTCAGGAAGAGGGGCTGGCAGGCCGATCCCAGCTCACAGCAACCTGGCAGGAGTAGAGTAGAGCTGCCCAGAGGGCTCTGAGGCCATCACTTCTAAGAAAACAAGCTGTCCCATGTTTCTCCCAACAAGCAGCTGGTGGGTCTGAACCACCGACCTTTTGGGGAGCAGCCCAATGCTTAACCTGCTGTACCACTGGTACTCCTCTTGGGGCCAATTCCTGTCTCAGACCTGTGGAACATGTCCACAGGGCTGTCCTGGAATCTGGTGACTGACTGGGTGGGAAATGAGCTTGGATTGCAGGACCCGCAGGGCCGGATGGGGCACCCAGACTCCTGAGCAAGCCAGGAGCAAACAGACAGTGTCCCTCCGTCCCACCCCATTGTCATTGTGTGCCGCTGTGGGGCTGGAGTGGGCCTCTGAGGTTAGAGGCAAATGCCAGCAGGGTTGTCCTCGGTGGACAGGCGTCAGCGGAGTTTCCAGACACAGACAGACTAAGAAAGGCCTAGTGCTTCCTTTAGGGAATGCTGTCCCAGCCCTTGGGCTCTGGGCACTCCCTCTGGAGGGGGCAGTGGCTGCGGGAGGACAAAGAGCCAGGGTTAGGGAGGCCCTCAGTGCGATGGGCTAGCTGTGAGACATGGGAAAACACCTGCTCCAACTAAAAAAGTCTGGTGCCGCAGAGGTTAAAGCACTCAGCTGCCAACCATAAGACCAATGGTTCAAAGCCACCGACCACTCTGAGGGAGAAAGATGAGGTGGTCTGCTTCCATAAAAGTTGGAAATCCTGGGGGGTAGCTCTACTCTGTCTTACTGGGTCCCCATGGGCTGGAATCAACTTCATGGCAGTGGGTTTAGAGTCACTAGGCAGCTGCTTCCCAGCCCTAAACAAGTATTCATCAAGTAATAGGAAGGTTGTCCTCTGCGACCAGGCCTCAGCCTCATCTTTCTCCCCCAGAGCAGCCAGTGGGATGGAAGTGCCGACCTTGCAGTGAGCAGCCCAGTGCTTATCAACCTACCGCTCCGCTCCATCCAGGCTCTGTTTTACACTGCACATATCTGATCATGCAGTGAGCAGCCCAGTGCTTATCAACCCACCGCTCCATCCAGGCTCCTTTTTACACTGCACATATCTGATCATCAGGAATCTGGACTTCTGCATTTGAAATCTCCTTGAGTCCCCCCGCTCAGCATCAGAAATAACAATGCCTCGTAAAGCCGATTATGACAGGTGTTAGGCTAAAATGTAAAACCTTATCGTTTGATTTTCCTTTTCGCCCATTTTAAAATGGCTTCAGTTTTTAGTATTATCTTTCTTATTTGATTGAGGTTTTTCTGTTGCGTCTTGTCAATGGTGTTGGCTTTTTTTGTTCCTTGTTTATGAATGAGTCTCTGCATATGAAATCCAGGACAGGTGAATCCAGAGAGACAGTAACTGGATTAATAATTACTTAGGGGCATGGCAGCAGGGGGCAAGAGGGAAATGGGAGCTAACAACAATGAGTATGAGAAATAAAAAATGTTCTGAAATTGAGTCTTCTGAATCTGAACCTTATGAATCATAAATTAAATTTATGATATGTGAATTACATGCCAATAGAACTATTAAAAATATAATGATGCCAAAAGCTCAGAGAAGGAATAAATCTACACAAGGCACAACCTCGTGCACCCAAGACCAGAAAAACTAGATAACCACTAACCACCACTGGCTTCTCTGACCAGGGCCACAGTAGGTGGTCCCAGATAGAATGGGGGGGGGGAAATGGGGAGCCGAACTCCAGTTCTTATTAAACCCAGAACACAGCCTGTCCCCTGAGATCCCCTTAAGTGAAATAGCAGACAACATAGAAAATAAAAGGGATGCCCTTCCCCATAAGACCAGTAGTCTACTTTAAAATATATATGAGACCGAAAGGTAAAAGATTACTCAAAAGCAAAAAATTTACCACCACTGAGTTGATTCTGACTCATATGACCCTATAGGACAGAGTAAAACTGCCCCTGTGGGTTCCCAAGGCTATACATCTTATGGCAGCAGAAAGCCTCATCTAGAAGCAGCTGGTGGGTTCAAACTCCTGGCCTTGTGGTTACAGACCAACACTTAACCCACTACGCCAAACATGAGGAGCTGAGAGAATCCAGGAGTGAGAAATCTCAGGATCATGGGGAAAAACAGCCACCAATGAAGCCAGACATCTGTCAGAGGCTGAGGCCAGAGGCACCAGAGACTACAGCACGGAGACCCTGGGACAGAGCAAAGGAGCCAAACCAAGACCAGAGGCCAAGGCAAGGAGACACTGAGACGGAGCAGAAGAACAAAGCCAAGATTATGAGACTGTGAGGCAGAGCAACAGGCAGGTTGCCTGGTCCACTGACACAGAGGCCAAGGGGACCTTGTGGCTGAGGACCAGAGAGACATGGCTACTAGCTGAAGAGAGGTGCTGCTGTGGACCAACTGCCTCGTTACTGGTTACTGGCCCTGCCTTGTCACCAGCCACCTCGCCCAAGCCAAGGGAACGAGAGCACGGAGCCGGCACAGCCAGACACGAGTGTGGACGCGCTATGCAAAGTTCAGTCAGTGTCTCTGAGCAAGCTGTGCAGAAACTGTCAGATGGGAACCCAACATGCCACGCAAATAGCCACCAAAGTCTCAACGCCACACGTTAAAAACCATCTTTGATTCCACAGGTAGACTGAACAGATGGAGGAACACAAGCAGTGCCCCAAAACTCGGTATGGGCTTAACCCCCACATGATAAGCTGAACTTCAATTAATGAACAAGTTCAAAACACTGCAGGAACCACCAAAATGTGGCACAGGGACATATGGAAAACTGTGCCAACAGACGTGTCTAATGCAGGGCTGGCTGCCACAAACTTTCCATGTGTAAATGGCGCAACATCTACCAAGTGCAGTAAGGCAAGGTGCAGTAAAACAAGGTCTGCCTGTTCAGCACTGGCGAAAAACACTGACTCTACCGTGGACTTCCAGGAGAATAAGCAAATCTGTCTTGGAAGAAGTACCGCCAGAATGATCCTCAGAAGGATGGTGAGCCTTGTCTCAAGTACTTTGGGCAGGTCATTAGGAGGGACCAGACCCTAGAGAAGGACACCATGCTTGGTAAAGTAGAGGGGCAGTGAAAAAGAGGAAGGACTTCCAAGAGATGGAGTGACGCAGTGGCTGCCACCAAGGGCTCAAGCATGACAATGACTGAGAATGGCGCAGGACCAGGAAGTGTCCCCTTCTGTTGTCTATGTAGTCACCGTGCATCAGAACTGATCCAACACCCAACAATAACAACAATGTGGCCAGATCATTCTGTGGGACACAGACGACCCACGTGGCCCATTTTTTCAGATGCACACCATTATGCTTTCCCCACTGGGTGGCAGCATGCACGACAATTGGGACAAAAGGTTCCCAAGAAACCTGAGAGGCTAGAAATATCCAAAAACTCACTGCCATGAAATCGATTCCAACTCATAGTGACCCCGTAGCAGAACAGCCCTGCCCCCGGGGTTTCCAAGGCTGTGAATCTGTACCGAAGGAGAAAGCCTCATCTTTTCTCTCTTGGAGTGGCTGGTGGTTCAAACTACTGATCGTGTGATAAGCAGCCGAAGGCGTAACCCAGTGCACCACCAGAGTTTGGAAAAATGTAGGTGGTTGATATATGTCCCATAGGTCACAAAACAGTGGAAACTGAAGATGAAGACCCAAGTTTTCCCCTGCCCAGTGATTATGGCTCTATAAATACACAACACAAGGTAAGTATAGGGAGTCACTTCTGTGTGGCCTCCCACGTGTCTAAATCGGGCAGGGTGAGCTTTCCGCCCCACCCCTCCCCCTCTCACCGGGAGGACTTGGCTCTGGTGTCCCAGTGACCTAGGATCAGCAGCCTTCAGGACATGGCAGGTCCCTGTGTATTGATTTGTCTTGTTTAAGTTCTCTTTTTCTCTTTCGAACTCATAGCAACCCCGCAGAATAGGGCAGAACTGTTCACTGTAACTCTTTATGGGAATAGAAAGTCCCCCTTCCTCCCGTGGAGCTGCTACTGGTTTCCAACTGCGGACCTTGCAGCTAGCAGCCCCGCTTGTAACCTCTGCACCACAAGGGCTCTTTCAGATAGGGATTCTCTGCCCCTGAAAACCAAATGTCAGAGAGTCAGCCCCGACTCACGGTGGCCCCTTGTGCCTCAGAGAATGGGGTGTTCAAGGGCTGATCCTTGGAAGTAGATCACCAGGCCTTTTCCCGCAGGCACCAGTGGGCAGGCCTCCTGCTTAGTGGCTGAGCGCATGAACTGCTCTCTGTAGATGGCCATGACTCACAGTGACCCTGTAGGACTGAGTAGAGCTGTGCCAGGGAGTTCCTAGACAGATTTTCATAAAAGTAGATAGGCTCATCTTTCTCCCAAGGAGCAGTTGGTGGGTTTGAACTGCCCACCCTTTGTTTAGCAACCAAGCGTTTACACAATGCAATACCGGGCACATATTCATCCTGTTAAAAGCCCAAACCAGACTCACTACCATGGGAGTCAATGCTGACTCATAGTGAACCCCTGTGAGTTTCCAAGACTGTAACACAGGAGTAGAAAGCCCATTCTTTCTCCTGAGGAGCTGCTGGTGGTTTTCAATGGCCAACCATGCAGATTGCAGCCCAACACATAACCACTACGCTACCAGGGCTCCTTTGTCCTGTTAGGACCCTGGAAAACAGAAACTTGGTGTGGTCATAAGGCACACAGACCAGCCTTCAGAAGACCAGGACTCTGGCCTTGTTTGGGGGAACCCCTCTCAAGACTGAGCGCCTGGGAAGCACAAGCCGTGGATGAACTAGGCTGCTAACCAAAAGGCTGGTGGTTTGAGTCCATCCATCAGCCCCTTGGAATAAAAGCCTGACAATCAACTTCCAGAAACTCAGCCCCTGGGACGCGTTCCCCTGTGACCCCAAGGAGCCTCTGGGGACTTGGGGACACTTTGCGGTGGCTTCACCAAGGAGGGAAATGCTGCGTCCTCAGTAAATGCTCTTCTAGAGGAGGAGAGAGGAGGAAGGAAGAGATGGCTGCAGAAGCCAGTTGGGATGCAGGAGGAAAAGGAGAGCCAGAGGTGAGGAAGACCTGGGGCAACAAGAAAGACCTTAGCCAGCGAGAACCAGTCACCCAATTCAGGCACATGGAAGGCCACAAGGAGCCCAAGCCGACGGCCCGAGCCTCCTCCTGCACCCTGTGCGGCTGTGAACAGCACAGCCCTTCTCAGGGGACCTAGTTGTTGGAGGGGCATTTTCCACCCTGAATCTGAACACGGGGGGCAGGGAGGGGAGGGGGCGCATAGGGGGACACAGGTGCTTGAAGGCCTAATAGCTTCTGGACCTCAAGGCTGGGGACGGCAGCCAAGTGGCCCTGTTAGGGCCGGTCCTTCCCCCTCGGGCACACTGGCCCAGGGCGGCCTCATTTGCCTAGAGGCGGTGCTTGCTCTGCCAGGTTGCAGGATGCCCCTGCTCCCTGCACCCTGTCTTTCTGCCCCTCTGGAAAGCCAGCCAGTGCTGAGGGCAGCACAGGGGCTCCCACAGGGCTCAGCCACACCCTTGGGAAGGCTCAGCGGGCATCTGGCCCTTGGTAGGTTCTCCGGGTGAGTAGGGGACAGAGTCAGGGCACTTACACCTTTCTAACGACTTAAAGTTCTCCTTGAGATTGAGGGAAGAATGAGTAAACTGAGGCAGCGTGGTGCGGTTGGCGGTGAGAAGCCAAAACCCCATTCTGACTACACTCTGTGCCCCGCAGCGGGGTTGTAGAGGTGGTCCCTGGAGGTTGGTCAGGCTGTGAGCCTCGGCCGGGGCCTGCGTCCCCAGGAGATGCGTCACAGTGGTACCAAAGGCCTGTCCTCAAGTTCCCCCGGGTCCTGTCACTCAGCTCACCCACAGAGCACCCCCTCTTCCCAGCCAGACCCCAGTGCTCCCCCACCTGCCGCCGAGCCTCCCTTAGAGAAGGTGCCACCTCCTGTACCCTGTGGAACACAGCAGTGTCAGGCCGTGGCGTGGGAGCCAGGGCCCTGTCTCACTTCATCCTCACGGGTCTCCCAAGGAGAGCCTAAATCCATGGGCAGCGAGGCCGTGATGACGAGAGTGAGCCTAGGTGCTGGGTGGGGAGGGACGGGGCTCTGCCCGGCTGTGGTATCTGAAGACCTACATCTCCCCCCTCCCCTTAGGGGCCCTGGGTGTCGGAGGAGAGCTAGGCCCTGGGTCTGCAGTGGCCAGGGTCTCGGAAGTACACCTCCCGCCCTTCCACCCTCAGCCTCTGTGGGTGGAGCTCCAACCTTCTGTCCACAGCGAGTGTGTGAACCCCTCTCATCCCGACGATCCTAAGACGGGCCTGCTGGGAGGAGAACGACAGCCACCCAGACCCCTGGGCCCCACCCCCAGGAGGAGCAGGGAGAAGCTTACCCGGGTGGTCTTGGGACCCAGCAACAGCTCGGTGTACCTGCACACAGAGGATCACACTGTGAGACTCAGGTGGGGGCCTCGAGAGGACTCCCTGCCCCCTCAGCCCCCATTGGGACTCACCTGAGAAGTGCAGAAAAGCAGCAGCAGCCAGGTGTAGGTGGGCCAGGTGTGGCTGGTGTGGGGTGGCAGCGGCCGCCGCATGGTCTCAGGACGTTAGGACAGCTGCATGAGAGTCCTGGGTGGCCACGCAGCCCAGCTAATGCTGCTGCCTGGGACAAGGGAACATTCCCACGGGTCTGCTTCTCTCTCGTCTGTGGGCACCACTGTCTTGGCCAGCTCTGGGCGCCTCCCTCGGGTCTCAGAGCAGAGGCTCTGTGGTGGTCAGCGAGAACGTTGTGGAGGCTGGGTCAGTGGGCATGTAGGGGACAAGCCCAGCCGTTGAAAACACATCCAAACCTTCGTCCCTGGGGCTGGTGGTGACTGGGCCCCGGCTTTGCTTCCCGTGTGCACAGCAGGACCGCAGGACAGAGGCTTCGGTGCTGGCCTGCCTGCGCCTCCGCCCAGTGTGGTGGGAGCGGCCGCTGATGTCAGACTGCCTCAAACTTTGCTCAAGGGCTCTCTCCTCCCTGACACCAGACACCCAGCACTGGCCCGCGAGCAGAGGGGCCGAGGTGCTCTTCCCAGACACCCGCCCTCCAGTCGGCAAGGCATTAATCAACGCGGAGTGTAAAACAGACTGTGAACTCTTGTTGGTCCAGAAGGGGACGAGAGGCGGGAGTTGGGGGGGGGACTAACCACACCCGCCACCAGGGCCTGCCCGCCCTGCAGGCTGGATTTTTCCCTTTAACCCTTTCAGGATGAAGTGAGTGTTGCGTTTCCCAGAGCGTCTGCAAGCAGACTAGGAAGAAAGGCCTGGATAGCTATGTCTGAAGATCAGCCAGTGACGGCCCTCTGGCTCCCCACAGAGCATCCATCATCCTTTGTGTGAGAGGCTAGTGGGCTCCTCACAGGGCATCAATGGTCCTGGCTGTGAGGAGGGGCTGGCGAGGACGAGGGAGACCCTAGGTGCCGTGGATTGGCACGAAGGCCATGCAAAAGAATTGGAGCATGCGGCGACCGAGAGGATGGCGTGCATGGGGCAAGGATGTCGGCAAGTGCCGGGACAGTGTGGGGCAGGCAGGTTCTGTCTCTGGTCCCCCGGGTCCCTGAACCTGAGTGGTATCTCTCTGTCATCTGCCTGGTGTGAATCTCCCACACCCCCAGGCCAGAAGCGTCTGTCATGCGATGCCGAGCCAGAATGTCACCATCTGTGCCTCTGCCCACCCAAGGCCTAAAGAACTGGCCCATCAAATCCAGGTACATGAGCAAATCACCCTGGTGATGGTCACCACCCTCACCAGTCCAGCAGTTGTGTCAGCAGACTTGGGCACAGTGGTTACACGCTGGGCTACTAACCCGAAGGTGGGTAGTTTGGACCCACCTGTGGTTCCACGGGAGAAAGATGACGATGATGATGGCAGGCAAGACAGCTGTGAGGCACATCCACTTTGCCACGAGGGGCCACCATGCCTGGGGTGAACAGCACCCAGTAACCCCACCCCCACCCCCAGCTTAGACACTAGTCCCTCTGTGCTTCAAATCCCTCCGCCATAAGGGGGAGGGGAGGTTACGACCCACCTGGATTGTGAGAGGGGAGATGGCGCATGTAAGACCCTGGGGGCTCACTGGCGGCCCTTGAATGGGCTCTGGTGCATCGGGACCTTCTTTTCAATCACCTCATGGCACGTGAGAGTTGGGCAATGAGTCAAGGCCAGAGAAGAATCGATACCTTTGAATGATGGTGCTGCAGAAGACGACTGAAGTACCGTGGACTGCCAAAAGGACAAACAGATCTGTCTTGGAGGGAGTACAGCCAGCATGCTCCTTCGAGGCAAGGCTGGCCAGACTTCGTCTCATGTACTTTGGTCATGTAGTCAGGAGAGACCAGTCCCTGCAATAAGACACCATGCTTGATAATGTAGAGGGGCAGTGGAAAAGAGGAAGGCCCTCAGCAAGATGGAGCGACACTGTGGCTGCAACAATCAAACCTAAGGGCAACTGTGAGGCTGGCACAGGACGGGGAGGTGGTCATTCTGCTGTACTTAGGGCCACAATGGGCCAGGCTGATTGGATGGCACCTCACAACAACAACAAGAACCCTCTAGGGTGGGGCAGACCTGCCCCCGTAGGCTTCTGCAGACAGCCTCATCTCTCTCCCATGAACTTCTGGTGGGGTTCAACTGCCGACCTTGTGGTGGGCAGCTCAGCACGCGAGCCACGATGCCACCAGGCTCTACGACTCGGTGCAGGGCCCAGGAGATATTTCGCACATAATAAATGTAACCTTTTTTTTTAACAAAGAAAGAAATATCACTCAATAAATGTTAGCTGGGATCACGATTATAAAGTCAAAAATAGACTCAGTAAATGTTAACTGGTATTCCTCCCACAGTTATGCTGACTTTAAATGGGAAGAATGAGTCCTGAACCTGACAGCCTTCCTTAAGGGGTAAGAGGACCACCCCAGCTCAGAGGGAGGCGGGAAGCATGATGTTAATGGGGATGGTGATGCTTTAGAACTTGGGCTATAGCCTACGCCACCGCAGCAGGCTAGGCCTCACACCTACCCCACCCCCACCCCCACCCGGAGACCTGTGAACCCCAGGTACAGGTGCTGGCTGCACAAGTGACCTTTCTCCTGTCCCCTGGGCAGAAGCCGCCTGGGAAATCCAGTTTACAACCCTTATCTCTGCATGTCATCCATTTTCCAGCCTTCTCCCCTGCCCGGCTGCCAGCCCGCCCGCCCTTCTATGAAACCAGGAGATACAGACGGGAGGCCAAGGCAGGCTTCTCTCTACTGCCACCGGCTCAGAATTCACCGCCTTGAGTGGATGCTGATTGACAGCAGCCCTCTAGTGCAGAGTAGAATTGCCCTGTGGCTTCCAAGACTGGAACTCCTTGTGGGAGGAGAAATACTTGTCTTTCTCCTGAGGAGCGGCTGCTGGTTCCAAACTGCTGGCTTTGTGGTTAGGAGTCAACTCGTAGCCCATTATGTCGCCAGGGCTCCACGGACTCCAGGCCTGAGCAAATCCTGAGATGCTGGCCCGAGGAGGAGGGGCAGCTGGTTGGGCTTGGCAGTTGTGTGATGACATGGTCACGCTCCATCTTGTGATCTGATAACATTGTCCTCCATGTTGTGATGTGCCTGCTTCTCAGCCGTGGCATGGTCCCGCGTGGGAGTGAGGTGTCCATCGTGACAATGAGGCAGGCTCAGGGTGCCACGTATCTGGAGGGTGTGACTCAGTCACCGCACTTCACACCTGTGCACCACCTTGCTCAGGTGAGGGGAGTTCCCTTGAAGGCACGGTCTGCAAATGCAGAGCTGCAGACTCCTCTCCCTGTGCTGGGTCTGCTGTCTGACTCCAGTTAAAGCCAGCAGCCTGTCATCTGACATGGCTGGCCAGCTTCTACAGCCACATGAGCTGGTGTCCTGCTGTCTGACCTGCCAAGTAGGGTTCCTCAATCCCTGAACCCAGGAGAGTTGGGAGGCCTCCAGACGGTTTCCTGACCCATGGGTTTGCCAGCCCCCACAACCACGTAAGCCACTTCCATGACCGTCTGTGAGTTCTATGAGATGGGAGGCTGAGTACCGAGGGGAGGAGGAGGAGGAGCTGGTGGCAGAGATGATAGAGTAGTACAGTGACTTGGAAAAGTGGGATACTTGGAACATTTTTAACCTTCACCTGATAGGAATTGGCTTTGTGCTGATCCTTCTAAAATGAATTATTCATGCATTCAACCTACTGAGGATTGAAAACATTCAGGGGGGAAAAAAGCAATTAAGTGGTCAGAGCAATCCCTCAAAAGGCTAAGAAGGAGCAGAAATGCCATTTACATAGCATTTACATTGTATTCGGTGTTATAAATAATGGTGAGATGATTTAAAGGAATGGGGGGGGGGCGTAGGCAAGTAAACACTAGGGCATGCTACATAAGGGACTTGAACACCCTTGGTTTGGGAATGGGGGTTACCCTGGAATCATCCCCACCCACACCAGGCAGCAAGGGACCACTGTAATAAAAGTCCGCACAAAATCAGGTGACAAGTCTCCTCTTCAGGGGTCTGCAAGTTCCCAGAAACCAACGGCCCTTGAGTGGACTCTGTCTGTACGCGTCTTAGAACTGGCTGGTTTCTCAGAGGGGGATCTCCAGGCCTTTCTTCCTTGTTCATCTTAGCCTGGAAGTTCTGCTGAAACCTGTTCAGCCTCCACCAACAGAGAGTGGGTGGCTTAATGCTGGGGCCTGGACTGGGAATCGAACTCCAAACTCCTGCATGGAAGGTGAGAAATCTGCTGCTGATCCTGCGCTCCCATGTGCTTAACTGAGGGGGTGTGAGGACAGTGGGTTCTTCACGGCTGATTCCAGCCCCACTTCAACTGCACCTCCCCCCAGGCACACGTCCTTCAAAGGATCGTGCTATTTGTGTGTCTGCGCTGCCATATTGGTTCCCAGCTACGTGGGCACCCACCCACCTCGCGGTCTGTTGTCCTGTGGTGGCTTGTATGTTGCTGTGAGGCTGGAAGCTAATGGAGACTACTGGAAGCACCACGGACTGCCAGCAGAACAAACAGATCTGTCCCGGAAGAAGTAGTGCAGCCAGAGTGCTCCTTCGAGGCAGGGTGGTGAAACTTCGTCCCACGTACTTTGGACGTGTTGTCAGGAGAGAACAGTCCCTGGAGGAGGACGTCATGCTTGGAACAATAGAGGGGCGGCACAAAAGGGGAAGGCCCTCAACAAGATGGATTGACTTGGTGTCTGTAACAGTGGGCTCAAGCACAGGAACAATGGTGGGGATGCGGCGCAGAACCAGGCGGCGTTTCGTTCGGCTCTACCAGAGGGCCACTCTGAGTTGGAGCAGACTCGGTGACACCTAACACAACAACAAGCGTGAGCACAGCAGAGCAGCGATTCCTGGGCAGCGTATTAACAGGCACACACAACAAGACAAGGACCATGTCCTCACGAAAAAGCCCCCTGAAAGTGTGGGGACTCAATGACCAACCTCACTCCAGGGACTTAACCAAAAGGATGAAGACGCTGGTCCACACAAAAACCTACATGCCCCTCTTGACATGGAACCCCTTTATCACCCTTCAGGTCGACCAC